TTCATTATGTACATAACTTTGAAAGTTGAATAAAATATCAATCTCCCTCTATACTTGTCTTCAATTTATTTCTCTTAGAGTCTTTATTTTATAACAACACTATATATATACGGTAACTTGATCAAACTCACTATTCAATAAATATTTAATTAGTAATAGTATCGGCCACACAAGTGCATACGAGATTAGCCACCATCGTCAACAATGTAGTATCAGCGGGTTCAACTGAATCCATAATTTTTGACGCAGAGTAAAAATTTATGTGTAAAAATTTATTAAAATTATAAATATAGTAAATATGAACCCATAAGTTTAAAAATATAATGGGTTCAATGATAAAAACTTTAAAAGTTGAACCCATAAGATTTAAATTCTGGATCCGACTCTGTGACGTCAACCAATGCACATCAAATATAAAAGTAGTTTAAACAGTTTATAAATAAGTAGTAAGATTTGTTTACTATTATAAATGTTCATTTTGGTATTTTAGAATTTAGCTACGTATTATTAATATTAATAACTATATTTTAGTGTTAATATAGTTACTTTAGTGTTGATATTTTTAAAATATTTTAGTACATTATTTTATTAATTCATCTAACAACCAACACATGCTCCTCCCTACACCAACCAAACGAAGCCAGAATCGTCTACCGCAGTGGAGAGTGTATATATATATATACACCCATAATACATTCAGAGGCTGATCAGTCTCCAGTTGGCGCTCAGAAAGACAAAAGTAGGCCTTTCCCCTCTCTTCTAAAACCCATACATCGGAACCCTAGATCTCCATTTCCATAAATCACTATTATCTCAATCCAAACTTCGAGTTCACATTTGCCCTAGCTTTGAGAAATGATCATTTGCAAACTCAAATTATTGAATTAGATCATAATAGAATCCGTAATATACCCAAATTGTATTGTTTTGTTTTGATGTGTGTTGTGAAAATACTGTAAATTTTGAACAATTCGATTATGGCCGATGGTAAGGTGGTTAAGCGTGTCAAGTACAAATCTTCAGTCAAGGACCCTGGCGTTTCTGGCGTTTTGAAGTTGGTAATTTTTTCCTTCCGACCCCCTTGTATTCGTATGGACGTTATGATTGAGCTGTGCACTTGTTTCCTATGGTCATGACCCCCCCTATAAATAGCAGCACTAACAATAATGTTCCCAATCCTAAGTAGACAAATACTAGGTTATTTTATCTCATCTGACTATGGTGGGTAGAGTTACTCCATACTTGTGCTGGGAGGTCACGGGCAGAGGCAGAGCTAGGTTTTCAAGCTTATAGGTTCAACATTCTAGTTCGTTTATGTTAATGGGTTCTAAATTAACAATTTGTACATATTCAATGGATTTCTTAGGACAAATATATGATTTGACCAAAGCTACTTGATTTGGCCGAACCCGTAACTCCTATGCTAGCTCCGCCCTTGGTAGCAGGTAGCAGGTACCCGTTGGAACAGTTGAGGCGAAGGTCCTGTCAAGAACACCGGCATCATAAAAAGAAAAAAAAAAGAGAAATCCCAACTAGAGCCGACCTGATAGAGGATTCATATCACTACATAAACTGGTCTGGGACTGAGACCTAGTTGATAAGTTGAACAAAATTAAAATAACAGGAATGCAACTGATACATGGAGCTGGTAGAAAGAGGTGAAAAAAGAGAGAATAGTGATTGGTCAGGTAACTGACTGGTAAACATTTTTTTATAGTAATATGTGGAATAAGTGACTAAAATTTGCGAAAAGGTATCTATTTATTCTACCTAGCAGCAGATTGCTGCTTAGAACAGTTGGTCTCTTTCATTGTATGAGCTAACATAATCTCTTTTACTGATTAAAATAATGAGTAGAATGGATATTGAACATTCAATAGTCGACTCCAACTAGTGCGTGGTTGATGCATTATTGTTATTTTTGCTTACAAGAAAAAAAAATGCAATTTCGACAATAGATGGATAGCCTAGCTGTAAGCACCCTCCTTCGAATTCCAGGATACAGTGGTACGAGCCTATAGAACAGATCCTGTTCAAGTAAGGTAGTCTATTGATAATGACCCTCCATCTTCAACCACAAGGACAGGGTATGAGTCACCAATGGTGCAAAAGTGGGAAAAGGCATTGTTGGGCTCCTGGTTTGTGGTTTTGTTGGGTGGGCTTTTAATTCGAAAAAAGAAAAAAATAACACTATCTGATGGGTTATTGATTCAGAATAATAAATTCCTCTTTAAGATGGTATGAACTATGAATTTCAATTTTTTATACAAACTGTTGATTTGCTAGCTTGTCTTTTCTATTGTGTGTAGACCAAGGAACGGTTTTTCTTTATGCCGAATGACCCAACATCAACGACAAAGCTTAATGTGGAGTTCAAGTTGATTAAAGGTGCTCCTCTCCATCCTTCCCCCCCTCTGACAGCACTTCTTTTCCCAGTACTTAGTTGATGCAAAATATTCGGTCAATTAAATGTACAGTTGATTTATTGGAGACGATTGTATGAAGTTGGTTCTCTGTCAGTTCTTGTATCTCTTTGATATTTTGCCTTGATTCTGATTCTTCTGTTGCCTGCAATTCCTCTTTCCACTCTAATTTATTAATAAATTTTGTGTGTTATCCATTACTAATGTGCTGTCCACACTTGACGTCTCTCTTCGCTTCTCTCTCTCTGTCTGACTGTCTGAACTCTCTTTTCAGGCCACAGGTCTTCTAAAGAGGGTTCAAGTAAGC